CCGACTGTTCATACCGTTCCGACCTAGCTTTCCGGACAATTATCCGATCCCAACCCGGTACACATTTTCCAGGTGCAGATTACTCAATTTATGATTTAGTCCTTTTTTTTTTTTTTTTTTTTTTTTACTACTGTAATGAACGAATATATGAAGCACAATTTATTAAATTGACTATTAGTTAACTGCGGGGTTGATATGTGTACAATTTGTATTCTAAATAAATTATCCAATGTCGGCTTAACCAAAAGCGTTTTTATATTACATATATAGGGTGCTGCCTAGCTTGACCTCGTGCTATTTCTATTGTTACATTGTGTAACAATGTGATGTTTGTATTACTAAAAATTTATTGCTTTTACCTACTTCAGCTAATACTTCTTTCGGAGATAATGCTTCTACTTCTACAATCGACTTACTGAAAAAATGTACGGAAACGGAACAACTGATCGCTTTTTTGGACGAACAAGGTTTAGATCTTATGGAACATCATTTTGGGATTTTGCGTGATCAAGAAATGGATGGTATAGCCTTGCTTAGGTCAAATGTGGATAAGCTGATGCAAATTGGCTTTAAATTAGGATCAGCCGAAAGAATTACAGAATTTATTGAAAAAATTAAGGACGAGAACCAAGGTAAGTAGTACCACGACTGCATTCGAATATTCCAAACCTATACTGCTCTCCGCAATAATTTTATTTATTAACGACTATTATTCTAACGCTGATTTGAAATTCCAAATTGCAACATCACACCTTTCATTTCGCTTGCTTAAGTCATTGGAACGTCTTCGATTACTAATGAAATTTGGATACAAAAATCGATGCAATATTGCAAAAGTTGGCAGAAGAAAAAACTGAGACTGTTTCATTTTCGTCAATTAGTATGGATAGATTGGACATAATTACTTTAACTTTTAATGAACAATGTTCGTCAAAGGATATAGTTGCTTACCAATGTATCACAACATATTCAAGATCTACAACACTTGATAGATTGACTATTACACCTAATAGACATTATCACCACCATATTTACAATTACTTGGAATTAAACTTTTTTCTATTACTCCAATGGTCTAACCATGCCGAGAATTTCTTAGAACAGCGGGATCAAATTCTAGAATATCTCAATAAATATCTCAAACCGCATCTTCCTGAAAATATCATGGTCTTTGATGTTTCCGGTTCGAAAGACTTCCTTAATAATAATCCGTTGTTGCCATTCAACGCCCGAGGTGGGACTGATATTATATTGGTTGAAGAGAGTGCTGTCTTTGGGAAATTTCCAATAGTTGGAGTTCATGCGGTTATTGAAATGAAACAACGAAGTCGGGTAACATCAAAAATTAAGGATGCAATTTACTCTGTTTATGGTGCTTCTCTATTAGACCGACCGATCCTAATTCATCTCCAAAAGTTATTTCTGATTGGAAAGCATCAGATAAAACTAAGCGCGCCTTTAAATTGCTTCATAGAAGAATAAATGACGATTCACCACAAACCTACTAAGAAAGATGTGGAAGGAAACTCATCATGTTCTGCAGGCTATCTGTGAAATGATTTCAGCAGATCTTCATGTATTAAAGTCTTCGGAATATTAACAGATCTGAACGAAACCTGGAACATCTATTGGATAGAAGGAAAAAGTATTATGACTCTTGCATTAAACAACCGGGAAAAGGCAATGATGTTAATTGGCAAAATGGCATCCGAAAATTCTAGGAAAGTGGAAATGCGTGGTTTTCCAAAAATACAACGTACGAAATTTAAATACATTGTAACGATTAATTTTTCCTGTGTCTCATCACTTCCGTATTTGTCTAATTCTTTAAATCGTCACCCACCCTCCATAATTGTACCATCATAGTCATGTTAATCTTACCATAGTATTCTTGGTAGCTTATTTCATGCCAGAGCATTTACGCTCATACGCGCTTGCATAAACTTGTGATCATTGCGCCTTGGGCAAATATGGAATCTACAGCGTAAGCGTTGAGATCCTGATGTTGACCATCTGTAAAATTAGAATGTATATAAGAGTGTGTCTTCATTCTTAGTTGAGGAGAACATTCGCTCTCAAAATTCCTCAATAAATAAAGCTCATATATATTCACTCTTTTTTATAATAAATGCCTAATAAATCATGAATATCCGAATACCATAATTTATTGCCCAATTCATGTGACCATTCTAACGTCAACCATCGGAGTTAAACTCGGCATGACAATAGCAAGCTCTCCCTTACGATGGTTACAACATGGATGGTCCACCTAACGATGTTATGGAAAAAATGGATACTCCATGTGAAGAGGTATATAAATATAGGTTACGTAGAATCTTAAAAATAGTCCGATATTCTCAAGGATGCTTTATAATTCTGTAATCGAATAATATAGAAATAAAGAATGTATTAGAGTTGAAAAAAATATATTATTCATATACAATTTTTTACTTTGATCGAAAGTTTTTCTTGACAATTTCCTGATAAATGCTCAGGATGCTTCGTGATTCATTTATGCTATTCAACTCAAAAATTAAATTAATCCATCTTATAACAAGCTATCATTAAAATGCAATCCGAAATTAATTCGTTGAATTATAGATTCTAGCGATGAAAAAGATGAGTTAGAAACTCGAAGCCCACTTCTTCAACTTACCTATATGATAAAGTTACTATTGCTGAAATGATACAATATAGAAAGAAATTTCATGTAGGTTAGTTACGGGAAAAAAAATTGTAATTCAATACAATATTATAAAAAATAGTGATGGCAAAATTGGTGAGAAAAAGCCAACGGTATACTTGTAATAGTTATATCCTGGGTGGTTGGGTATAAGGGAAATTTCATTTCCGCTTATACACATAGTACCCAGGGCATAACTGATTTTTATACCCTGGTCACTATATCAAGATCGCAGGGCATAAATCAGTTATGTCCTGGGCACTATGTGATAAGCGGGA